GCTGTTGAGGATCCCATGGGTCAGGTGCTAAATACCTGTGTGGAGAGACGCTCTCAAATAAAACAAAATTATTTGTAGATCCTCAGTGAATAGAGAAAAACATCAGCTTTATCTGAAAGGTCCTAGCCTTGGCTTTCTATGAGGGAGAATCACCTTGGAACTTTTGCTCATATCTAGAATGAGAACAGGAAGAAAATAAATACTCTCTGACAGGCAACTTAAAGTCAAAAGTGGCATCTCAGAGCTGGTTTCCATATTCTGCTACTTTGACAGTTCGTGCTATCACCTCCATCTTGGTGGTTCTCTTACAATATTCCTGGAGGTGATACGTCCTTTATTCTCTAGCATTCTTTCAACAGGCATTGTGAAGCAACACTTAGCCTCAGGTGGAACTACAATATTCTCTTTAAAGTGACCTAATTTAAAACAATCACCCAATTTGCAATATTGTAAAATATTTAAAATTATAACTTGCTATGTCACAATAGCCAAGGGCAAGTCAACAAGATCATAGAGAAGAGAAATTACTATAAAATAGGCATTTTATGACAGAATAGAATATTTGGACTCAGTTGTTCCATTTTTTTTTTTTTTTTTTGGTCTTTTTCGTTTTTATCGGTACCAGGGATCGAACTCGCGACTGCCTGCTTGCAAGGCAGGCGCTTATGCCGCTGAGCTAAATCCCCAGCCCCCAGTTGTTCCATTTATAAAGTGGCCCGCCAATAGAAAGAACAATGGCTGCCACATCACTGCTCTGTCAGTAAAATATATGTTGAATGAATAAATGAAGCAGAGTCCTATTTGTGTAGTTCACAGATACACTGATCCCTTAGCCTAGTGCACCTGGTAGATAAAAATACTCAAATATTAATGGAACAAATACATACTCAAGTATATTTATTTATTCTGCAATCACTATATTGTGATTAAATTTGAACTCAATGTGCAGGTGAGGTGTTAAAACCACTCTTGCTACTTGAGAGGCCAGGTTTAGCTCCAAGTCAGTGCAGTCTGACCTTCCCACTAACAGCACAAGCCCCATGAGACAGAACTTTGTCTGGCTGACTTGTTCCTTACTGTTTTTTATAAACATAAATTAAAGGAAGGAATATAGCTTTGCAATGAAAGTAGACAACATGGATCAGTCAAATAAAGACAAAAACCACTGTATAACAGAAACTCAAGTTCTTCTCCTGTCATAGCAATTTTCCTCTCCTGCAGTAACACACATCTTTCCTGCTACCATCTCGAGACATTTTAGTTCAGAATTTCCAGTCTATGAAGACAGTATGATGCTTGACATCCATGCAAGTGGGCCAGCACTTCTGATTAATTTTTAATACAATCTTTATGAGTTTTCTAAGTTTTAACCACAATCCAGGTGGGGGTGTATAAATTTAAAACAAACAAAAATTGTCTTTCAGGAATGAAAAATAAATGTAATCTGAAATCAATATTTATGAAGTTGTGATTAATTGACTGATGACCAAATGATTACAAAACGTCTGTCTGAAACATCTACTCAAATTTATTAGCTTTGACCAAAAAAAATTAAAAAACAATCTGAACCGGGTCAATGAAAGAATAATGCATTCCTAATCAATTTTTAATAGCACTTAAGATTTTATATTTTTTTAAACTTGCTTTTAAATAATTTATCATTAAAATGAATCTGATTTAAACAAGGGGTAAAAGGTGTTCCATAGCTATTTGATGGTTTTCTTAGCAAAGAAATTCAATTATGACTGACTTTTTATTACTGAACTACTTTATTAATAATAATACATCTTGCACTTACATGAAGGCATCAGGCCAACAATCTTAGTCCATCAAATGTGATCCAGAATTTAACTCCAATTCTAATATTATTAGTTGCTTTACCTTAGCCAGATGTCAATTTCCTCATCTGTGAAAGGAAAGATCTTCCTAACAAGTCCTAAAAATCTTTCTAGTTCCACAAAGTTGTACTTCTAAGGGTTCAGGAGAACTTGGCTATTCCAGTACATAAAATTGAACTGTTGGGATCACAGGTTCCTCATGAGGCTATTAAGGTGAAATAGAAATTAAGCAAAGTCAGTGGGCCACATAATCGTTGCTTTCCTTTTAGACTAATAATAACATCATTTGATACATTGGTCCAGGCAACTTGTATTTAGAACAATTAATCAGAAAAAAATAGTAAGTATCCTTGGTAGATAGGAAATAAATGATAGTTATTGATCTTAGACCATTTGTATTATTTAAAACACGTCTGGGAAATGGCCTGAATTCAGAACCTAGAGAGAATCCTGTTCAAACCATATTGCTAATAATGTTATTTGGATATGTGTCTTTGTGTTTGTTTAGCCACAGAATTGTAAGTGGACAAAGCAAATATGTTGTGGTATAAATTTATATTTATGCATATAGCAATACATGAATTAAAATGTCTTTAAGAATATGTTCTAGATGTTAATTGTGGTTCCTACAAAGGAAAGAGAGGTGAGGCAACAGAATAAAGTTTGCTTATTATGTTACATATTTTTAAATGGTCTTAACTTTCCTAAATGAACTATGTTATTTTTATACTTCCCAAAAGACAATATAGCCTTCCATTTTGAGGCTAAAAGAAGGAGAAGATTGTTTAAAACAGTTTTGGCTTATAAAAAGGTAGACTGTGGCTAAGCAAAATAGTATTGTTTGCAGAACAGTCACTTATTACCAGATACTAGGTAAATTAGATGCAATCCTTGACCTCTACAAACATAGTCTATTGTAGTGGTAAACATATAATCAACTATAAAACAATGTGGTCAGCATACAAATACTTATATGACTACAGCATTAAAACTGCATTCACGCTAGGCATGGTGGTACAAACCTGTACCTAGAAATTAAGGGGGGACAGGATAATTGCCTGGAGTTCAAGTCCAGCTTGGGCTACATAGTGAATAGTTCTGGACTACACTGTGATACTCTGTGTAAAAAACAAAACAAAAGACAACTAACCTAAACAAAAAAAAAAACAGAAACAAAAACAAAAATCTATACTCAAAAGCTATGACAATGATCATAAATGTAAAAAAGAAATGTTGGAAATGGTTGAGATTGTAATATTCTATGTAAAAGACATGCAATTTTTAAAAGTTATCTTTGTGACCATGATTATTTACCAGGATATGATCACCAGGGTTATTTACAAACATGAACTTACTTATTTAGTAATGGAAAGTACTTTTTTAAAAAAAATGCCTTCAAGTCTAGCATGGTGACACATACTATAATCCCAGTATTCTCAGAAGTTTGGGTAGAAGGATTGTAAATTTGAGCCCATCCTGGGCCTTAGGACAATCCTGTCTCAAAATTAAAATTTGTAGAAGGGACTGAGGCTGTAGCACATTGAGAACACACTAGGTTCAGTCCTCAGTGCTGGGGGTGGTTGGAAGGCCGAGTGTCTCCTTGATAGTCTCGGGCATCAGAAGGAGGCCCTTAAACACCATGTCACCTACTATTGAGGGAAAAGTGAGACTAGGAAAGAAATCGGAACACTGAAACATAAGTTACCAGAATGACAGAAGGTGACAACCTGGAGCTTTCTCATTCTAAAATCTGGGCTCTACAGCCAACAATGTGGAAAACACTGGCATTTCTGGACCTCATGTAAATATAATTTTGCCTTCAAATACATGGGAAATAGACAAATCAAATGACTAGACACATGACCATTAAATGCAGAATCAGTACGACTATTTTACAAGCTAATTCCAAGAAGATGATGGTCTCCAGTTCCTAAGAAATCCTGTCAAGTTACCGAGTTGTTTGGAACAGTTCTCGCTACTAGGCATGAGCCAGTTTTGAACTGGAATTGGGAGTCTTCAGCAAATTCCTGACTGTTCCCATAGCGTGACTGCCAGTTCTTCCATAGGTATAGACTGTTCTCATTTAACACATAATCCAAGTAAGATGCTAAGAGATGAAAATAAGCTGCCTAAGGCCACAGAGTTTTGAGGGTAGAGGTTTCTAACCCAGCAGTCCACAAAGACCAAGTCCAGACATCCTTACTCTTATCCGCAGGCTGCTCCTTGACAGTATATGCTATCAGAAAGATTAATAGTAAAAGTTGTTCCTTAGTAATATTTCCAAATCTCCCAACTCATGGATGATATCTGTTTGCATAATTTATCACATCAATTCTTCCTCACTTAAAGCAAGTTGAAGTTAAATTTCCAAATCTGTCATATTCAAGATTCATTTAGGAATATATATAGTCTTTTTTACTCTTTTGTTGTTAGGAAATATCACTTTATAACCTCAGAATTCTCCCTTGGGGTTCAACACAGTGGTATATTTCATATCCAACAGTGTACTTGAAATAGAAGTGTTAAAATGCATTGAACAAGAGGATAGTCACACTATTTGTAATAGTTTTGGATATGAACCAGAGTCCTGGCTGATGAACCAGAGTCCTGGTTGGAATTCTAGTCTCATTTTGGTAGAAAGCAAGGAAGGGCCAACAATGAAAGCCTGTCTTAAAGGAAGAGCTGAGATTGAAGGTATCCTGAGCATGTCTGGATACAAAGGGGGGTGGGGGGGTGGGATTCCCCACTATTTTAAAAGTGAATTACTGTCCACTCTGGAAGCACGTTGTGTCACTTAAAATGGAAAAGAAGCTGACAAAGGCGGAAAGTTTTGAAGTATTACAACAGATGACATCTCTTCATTTCATGTCTTGACCCTGTCGCGCGTTTGTGCGGTTTCATTTTTAAAAGAAAAAACTTCCGCCCCGCCCACAATTTCCTTCGGAAAGGTCTCGGGATTTTAAATTGTCTATCAATTTAAAAGGTTTCTTCCTTTTAAATCTTAGTAAAATCTTCTGAATTGCAGTTCTAAAAGGCTTTTTTTTTCTTTCTTTCTTTTTTAATGAAGGAAAAAGGCTGTTCAAGGGTGCGTTTCAAAAACGCGTTTTCGTTTGCCCTCCCGGGCGGGCTATGGTCCTACTGGACCACCGTAGCCGACCTCGCGCTTCGCCAGTTGTGGCGAGGAACCGCTGTCGGCGGGACTTCCGTGTTGGCGGGATTCTGAACGCTGCCATGGCTCAGAGTGTGCAGAACGTAACATTGTCTCTCACTCTGCCCATCACGTGCCACATTTGCTTGGGGAAGGTAATGGGTGATTGCGGGCATAGCTACTAAACGGCGTCGGGCGTGAAGTCTCCGGCGGGGCCGAGGGCGGTCTCCGTGCTGGGCGGAGACGGGCAGGAGGCGCGGAGCTGGGAGGAAACGCCCGGCGCGTTCTCCTCTGGCGTGAGAAGGCCGCGTCCCGGGCGAACGCATGTGCAGTGATTAATGGCTTCGTCTGGGCGCCTTTCAAAGGAGGATGACAACGGGCTGGAGCTGAGCGAGGCGGCCTTGCCCGCCCACGGCCTCAGTGCGGCTCGCGCTGGCCACGGAGGCGGCCCTGGCGGTTCAGCCCCTCAGCGACTCCGCGTGGCGTTGTAGCCCATTAAAGCACGTTTCTTAGAAGTCTAGCCTAAGGTTCCTCACTCCCTCGGTCACCTAGAGTGTTCGTGTGCTGGGCCTAATGCTGGCTGGGGAGTCTTCCATTTATGATCCATTTTCTTGGCACTTAGGATAGCGCTTGCTCTGGGTTCAGGATTTGGAGAATAACAGTACCCCAGAGTGGTGGTTAGTAAGAGATCTGGTCTTTAAATCCAAAAAGTGATCAGTCAAGGATAGACTAGACTACTGTTCTTGGGATGCAGAAGGTACCTGTGTTTTGGCGAAACTATGGAGACAGTATTTCTGAATTAGAAACTCAGTTTTGCATCTTCTCTTGCGTTCCTCTCCCCTCTCATTTCCGTTTGTATCTACTATTAGGGTTTTTTTTTGAAAAGCATTTTTTTAAACTACATGGATTAAAGAGGGAAGTACTGGCCCAGATTTTTCCCTCGTGATTTTTTAAAAAAATGTTTTCAATGTGTGTGTGTCTACTTCCAAAGTGTAGACTGAAACTGCAGCCTCAGGGTTAGAATTGATAATGCTAATCTCAGTGCCAGCAAATAAGATCACCTGTCTAGATGTTTGAGGTTCACTGTGAAGTTACTGAGTTGAAGAAGTAAAAGGAAGTCAGTATTGGACAGCAACTGACAATTCTAGGGTACAGACAAAATGAAATGCCAGCAGAATAGCTGATGTGCAGTGAGAGCTCTTTAGGGGATGGCTAGATCAATTTTGATTAGAGAGAGCAAGGATGGTCTCATTGGGGGTGGTATTTGAGCTGTCGTTTGCTACCAGTTCCTACACACCTGCTGTTGGCAAGGAGAGGAGGGTGTGATGCTCCTCCATATTTGTTGTAGTCCTAAACATTTAGCTTCTGACAGATTCTCCGAATGTGTTAAATTCTGAGTGAAATTTGTTCAACAGTAGCTTTTGAGCTGATAAAAATATCGTGGAAAGATTTTCTTTTGGTATGCATAACTAATTTCCATTAGTTCAGAAGCTATGTTGTATAATTGTGCTGGAAATGTGTTCTGCGTGTTTGTTTTAGCAAGCCTATGCTTGTTTCTATTTAACAGAAACGATACCTGATGGAATATAGTACTTTGCAGATTACAGAATACTTTTAATTACTCTTTCATTTAGCCTCACACCAGTGCTGTGAGATGAACAGGGTTGTCTGTTTCTTTCCTCTGGAAGCTGAGGCTTAGAACTTCTGTCATTAGTATCTGCATTTGGTTATTTCCTGAAACATTCACTAAAAGTCAACCATGTCAGCAGACACTTACAGTGTTTGTTTTCGTATATTAAATTTAATCTAAAATAAAAATTATATATAAAATTAAAATATTAACATTTGTAAATAGGCATTCTTGAGCTATATAACTGTACAAATTACTTAACCTAAGTCTCAGTTTCCCTGTCTGTAAAATGGGAATGATAATGCTATCAACCTCCATCTTTGTATTTTGGAGAGAATTAAATGAAACATATGCAGTCTTTACCACAAAATCTGACATACACCATGCAGTAACTTTGTGTTTACTGTGAGCATTGAGGCAGGTCTTCAAACTGAGGAACCAGCCTTTTGTGGTGAGCAGTAAGCATTTTTTACAGTTGCTTTGTGAGATCAGTGCATTTCTCTAAATTGCCACAATACATTCAAGATTTTAAGCAATACTCTTTATGATGGTTGCCTTTTCTAATCCAGCCTGGTTGTACTACCTTACACTTCAACACATACCATATTTATGGGGAACTAGATATAAATAAAGTATTTTTCATTTGGAAAAGAATCAAGTTTTATGTCGCTCACAGTATTAAGGTTTGTACTTAATATTAAAAGCAAGCTTTTTGGCTGAAATAACCAGAAATGAAACCAGCTTCCCTGTAATATAGGGGTTGCCAAGGAATTCTACAAAAGGATTACTGTTTTCAAGGAGGACTGCCTGCTTTGCTCTTCACCTATATTGTTTTAAAATATTGAAAAGACAGGACTGGGAACAAAGCCTTACACAAATTAGTCTTCATTCTGGGTTGATAAAATTTGAAGAATGTAACCCCATAAAAGTATTGATACGGCTTAATTATCAGGGCTGCTATGTAAGTGGATATAAAGCATTCCTGGGATGAACATGAATGTAGGACAGGGGAGATGGATTATCTTTTCTTTAATCTAGACAGGAATGGGAACCCATTATTAAGTGACTTAGTTTACATAGTTTACGTTCGATAGCAAAATTCTGGCCCATAGCTGGAGGTTTCTTAAAATAGGATGTGTGTGAAAGGAAGAGAAATTCAGGAACTTTATTTGAAATATTCCTAAATACCCAAGGTTGAAGTGGTGGGTCCCCTATCATCATTCTTTAGCACAACCTGATTCCTTTTCATAGTTTTCTGAGTCCTCATTAGGGAAACCCATGCTATTCTGACAAGATTTTTTAAAAATGAGTAGTATTATTTCAAGAATATCTTTAAAGAGACAAAGTTGACTCTTGTTTCTAGTAAGAGTACCAAGAGTAGAGAAGTTGATTTTAAGTATAATTGTCAGACTAGTTGATTCAGCTGACCTATAGCTTATTTATTCCCATCACCTCCATTAGTACCCAGTCTCTCACTTCTTTTGAGCACTTGTTGTCTATTTCTTATTTTCAGATTGTTGTTTATGGACCCTGCTCCAAGGAAGAAACAACTTTTTATTAATTGAAAGATCATGTGACTTTACAATTGGATAGTATTGGAGACAAATCCAGGCTCTGGCATTTATAACACAACATTTCCTTGAGTTTGAGTTTGTATAGCTCACAATGTGTTTGGTATTACCAACTCCCATTATCTTTAGGAAGACTCGTGAATATTCTAGAATATCCTAGACTCGTGTGATTCTTAGTGGGACAGAGAGTATATTTCAAGGACATTTGGCAATATCTGGTTTTGGAGACTACTACAAAGCAGCTCTGAACAGGATTGAAAATTAACTAATTGGCTTTCTATGTTTACTATCTGTCCTAGGCCTCAGCCCCTTGCCTGGCAGTGGGAGCTGATTCATAGTAAGTGAACCTCTATGAATCACTGGTCCTGGCTGAGGCCTAGTGGCCTGTGAGGCCAAAGATACCTCAAAGGGCAAGATAAGGCCACAGCTGCGGACGCCTGGCTTAAGCATCAATTAATAGAGACTTCAGCTGCAGGAATTACTCCTACTGTCTCACTCCTACTTGTCTTCATGATAAGACAGTACTACTGAATTGATTTGATTCCTAACTTGGAGACATCCGTGAAGTGACTCCCAAGGTCCTGCTCATTGCCTGGGCTTTCCTCAGTTTCCTTGCCCCTTGAACCTATTAAAAGTGGGCAGTTCAGAGAAGTCTTTGTCTTAGCACTTGGAGTCTTGAGCTCAGTTAAAGGGTTTTGACCCTCCTGGAGCTCTAAATTCATATCACTTGTCTCATTTTTTTTAAACCTCTGCTGTACACTCGGGGATCTAAGTCAGGACCCAGTAGTCTGGAGACGTTTCTGGTTGTCCCTATGAGAGGTGCTACGGCATCTAGTTGGTAAAGACCTGAGATGCTACTTTCTAAACACGTAACAGTATAATGCAGGCATCTAATTGGTGAAGCTCAGGTATGGTACTATCTAAACATATAACGGTGTACAGGACAGTTCCTGTATTGGTTAAGTTTCCATTGCTGGGACAAAATATCTGACGTGCAGAGTTTTAATAAGGAAATCTAGAAACTTTATTTTGGCTCACAGTTTTACGGGAGTCAGTCTATGGTAAACTACCTCCAAGACAGAAACATCATGGTGGAATGGCATGGAAAAGGAAAAATGTCCATCTCAACATATCCCAAAAGAAAAGTAGAGAAAGAGCTAGAGAGAGAAAGAGTAAGGGCAAAAATACACTATTTGCAGTTATCTACCCAGTGACCTACTTCCTCCAGTGAGACTTTACCTTCTAAAGGTATATTCAGCTATGAACTCATCAACTGGTGAAGTTGGTGTTCCCATAATTAGTCATCTTTCAAAAGTCCCGTCTCTGAATGCATAAACCCTGTGGGGCAAATTTGTGGTCCAAACCATAATAACCTACTATAACAAAAATTTTTTAGTTCAGAATGTTAGTAGTGCCCAAGATGAGAAACCCTGGCCTAAGCCAATTCGTCTTATAGTAGGTAAGTCTAAGTGAGACAAATACAGTGGCACCCAGTTCACATACTTTTGTTTGTGAACTAAATTGTTCACAATTTGTGAACAGTTTGTGAACAATTTAGTTCACAAACAAAAGTGGCAGATTTTTGTTTTGTTTGCAAACTTTACATTGGGTGACACAAACACAAACTTGGCCATCTTTTCCAAAATTGTGAAATAAATAGGTTTGTGAACTGAGGTACCATTTATGGACAACAACTTTAAATTTAATCCAAGTACATTTGCTATTTTAAGAAAAAGGTTTGGTGGTAGTTTTTCCAAAGACTGAAACATCCTCAGATAAAAGAGATAAAATGGTATTCTAGGAAAGCAGATTCTAGGGAGACCAGTACCAAAGACTATTCCCCTCCCACCTCTGTTTTTGGTTTTACACTATTGGGGATTGAACCTAGGGCTTGAAACAAACTACATCCCAGTGATTTTTAAGATGTGTTTTTTATTCTATTTTGAGACAGGTT